AGTTCATTCTAATAGCTTGGCTTTTTTGTATAGGATGGTATCCTTTGGATTGGAAGACTTTGCTAAAAGATATGGTGCACTAAAACCTTTCCAGTTTGTTGATGTTGTTGCTCTTGCTGGTGACAAGTCTGACAATATTCCAGGTTTTAGTTGCATATGAGTTCTCAATCTCCTGTATTTGTCAATTACTGATGCTTATTGAGATACCTAGAAGATGGTGTTCCAAATTCGTTGTATCTTCAGTAATATTTCTTAGAAGTTTTAATTTTAGAGGGGTGGGCCTTGTTACAATGGTAAGGTTGTGCCTTTGTGACTTGGGAAACAGTCACTCTAGAGGTAAGGCTATGTAGTACATTAATCCTCCCCATACCCCAAATTGGTGGGAGCCTTTTGCACCGGTTATGCCTTTTTTATAGAAAGAGATTGGAACAAGTTTCATTAATTGATACCTTTAGATGAAGTTAGTTTAAGCTGTTATGTTGGGGATATTTTGGTGCTTTTAGTTAATCACAAACCAAGGGGGAATGTTCCCTTGGTTTAGTCCAAGTTTCGTTCTAGTGGTTCCTGTTTTGTAAACCTCTCTAAGTTGACTTGCTAAAATTTTTTACTTATTGGTTCATAAATTTATTTCTATTCATTTAAGAGATGACATTATAAGCTTTTCCAATTGACTCTTAGAGGAACTGAGTACTTTAAGATGCCAACAATTCATGAATGGACAGAGGAGATTTTTTATTTTTCTAGCAGAAATCACCTCAGAGCCATACTAATAAACTTGTTGAAGAAATATGATTCGACTTATTCATTATGGTTGCAAAATAATACATTGCAATCCATATTGCCAAAAAGAACTACTATTCTTGGGAAGACCACCTAATTCTTTTCCACCAAATACAAGATGATTTAAGCCAAGCTAAGTCACCAGCATTTTTTCTATCAGATGCATGCTGCAGTCATCTCTCATTGCATGTTTTGCTCTAGAAACTCTTTATCTGAAGCGACAAAGAGACACTGATTCATGTTTCTTGTGTAGTCTAAATGATTTCTTTAAATGAATACTTTGATGCAATTATACTACTAAATATATTCAAACTAAGCTTTTATGCAGGAGTTGAAGGCATTGGAGATGTGAATGCTTTGAAATTGATTACTAAGTTTGGTATGCTCGTCTTCCTCCATTTAGGAAACATTGTGATATGCATGATAAAAATGCAAAGTTGGCAATGTGATGTGGTTATGCAGTACGTAGCAGTTGCTCTCATTTACTCATTTAAGACAACTTTGATTGTATCCAGCATTTAATGAACCTTGAAAAGTTTGGGTCACTCTTTTTTAAGTAAAAATAGATGTTCTTCTGTAGTTATCATTTTATAGGACTTGTTGATTTCCAGAAGCTTGTTGCTTGAAATTGGTAGCTGTGAACATGCTTTATATTGATAGCTAAGGTTTCTTGTGTGGGCTAAATGGAATAGGACATTAGTTTGCCATTTGACAGTTCATATCTGTTTATATGCCTAACAAGTATAGACAGTATCATAATCCATGCAATTAACATTTTGTGCATTCAGCAAATTTTCCAATTGATACTGCCAAAAAAAGAGGTCCTGAATGTTGAGGAATTTAATACTGTCTCCAAAGCCTCAAAAAATTTGTATAAATGGTCAGAAGGCAATTTTACTTTTAGAATAGTTTCCTTACCATTGCTTGCTTTTTATTGTTACACATGCTGTGGCACTTCATTTTCCTAACCCAAGCATCTTGGTGCATTTACCATGCTGATCTATTGATGGTGTTAGCTGAATATTTTGGTGTCAATTTTGCTTCCATGTGTAATATTCGAGCTTCAGAAATCTGCTTTATTCAACTGAATGCATATGTTTTTCATGTGTGCTCTCAGGTTCATTGGAGAATTTGTTATTGTGTGTTGATCAAGTTGATGATGAGCGTATTAGAAAGGTGTATTCTTTCAGAATAATTTTCTGGGTATCGTTGGATTGTTAACCATCTTTGGAATGGCATGCAATAATATTCTTTCAAACTGCCTTTTGCAGGCCTTAATTGCATGTGCTGATCAGGCTGTTCTTTGCAAGAACTTGGTAATCCCTTTGTCTCTATAGTTATTTTTACTTGCACGGGAAGGAGCTAGTTGAATAGTTTCTTAATAACTACTGAAAGTTCATAGTGTTCTCGTATTCAGTAGTCAGTCTGCACTGGTACAACTAGGGTTACCTGTTCCCCTAAAGATGTTCACTGATGATTGATGGCTTTTTGTACACTGTTCTTGCGTGCAGTTCAATCTTCTCTACTTTGCATAAGTTCCATATATTGGTTAGGATTGGGATAATGCTTCTAACAGTGAAAAATTTTGTAATGGTGTGGCAGGCAACGTTACGCTCTGATCTTCCATCTTACATGGTTCCATTTAAGACACCTGACCTAGTGTTTCAGAAACCACAGGTTTTCTAGTGTTCTCTCAGAGGTATTTTGGTCATTCGATCTGTCAACTAATTTTAATGCCTGGGTTATATATTTAACAGGACAATGGCGACAAGTTCATCACCCTCTTGAGAGCCCTTGGAGCATATGCAGAAGGCTTCTCGCCAGATCCAATAATCAGAAGAGCAGCTTACTTGTGGAACAAACTTAAGACGTGATGATTTCTTGTTGATCTGTTTACTCCCCCTCAATTTAGGTGATAACAAAACAACAACAAAAAAAAGGCATTAAAGAGCTGGAGGACAGTGGTGGCGGGTAACTCCCGCAGTGAATCAATGCGCAGAAGTGCAGAAACTTGGGTGATATGTTGCTGTCCAGTGTATCACCAATCATATCAAGCTGTTCTTGCTCTGACATGTACCCTATTCTCGCAGATCCAAATCTCGTTGTCTCGACAACGTGCGTGAAGTTTTGTTTTGGTCCCCAAGTGGCCGAGGCAGTGGGTATCCACTGTCGTCATTTCTGGGTTCGTGAGAGACATCGCGGTACAAATATATCTTTTCGATGATTCTGGCCTTTGCTGCCACTCTCAGCTCTGAAGACAGTCTCGTTTGTATATGAAAGATCAATCTGGTTTGTTAATCTTGATCTTAAACGCTTTTACATGCATCGGTGCATTGTATCTCATTCTAAATTATTCCTGGAAACATTTGTCTAAACACGTTACAGCCAAAACATGTGATGATACCCCCACTCTGGCAACACATTAGAGAATCCTAGTTTAAGCTAATTAGTATTAGTTGAGCTAACACCACGTGATATTTGATAGATAAGCCTCGAGCACACCCCGGGCTTCATCGTGCCCGACCCGTTCGCCCTATCTTAACATGTGGTTCGGGTGCTGACGACGTCCGTGTGAAAGGATCCGGAGGCCGTTTTCGGGCCCGACCCGTTTACACCCTAAACACATCGGGCGGGGGGCCCACTTGGTTCGTTAATTCTTCTCGTAATTTGTTCATTTTCATTCGTCTGCTGGGTCGGGGGGGCGGGGTGGGGATCGAGAAGCGCTCCGCCGTGGCGGCCGGGACGGCGGATCAGAGAGATGATCACCCGCTCCAAGCTCGTCGAGCAGCTGCGCGAATACCAGATCCGATCCCAGCACAAGTGGGGCGCCCTCACGGCCTTCTCCTCCAAGCCCCAGATCACCACCAGGTTTCCCGTCCCTTCCTGTTCCTCGATTATCCCGAATTATGCTGCCAGATTTCTTTTCCTTTTTTCTGTTTATCTGAGCCTGGTCCGTCCTCCGCTTCGATCTCGAAAATAGTTGTTTTTGCTATATGCGGATTGGCTGGACGCGTCAACTTGACTTGATAATTTCGCGTGGGGAGATGAGCGGCCGGTGCCCTTCTCTCGATGTGTGATTTGACTTGATATAATTATGGTTCGTCAATTTGAGATCTTGTCGTTTAGGTTAACCACAGGAGAAATATGTAAAGCTGGCATGAGTTTCGTGGAGATTGCGACTGTTTCATTGATTATTACCATGAATTAGACGTGTCGAGACTTTCAAAACACGAGAATAACTCGTAGAATAATTCGTGATGTATTGGGAAGGTATTGTTTAAGTCATGCCGAGATTTAATTGTAGATTCGTTCTCCGTTTTCGTTAATTTCAAATATCTTTTCCATATGTTGTATTTGCTATTTTAAATCGAGTTCAGAGTTATATCTTGAGTTATGTTCTTGACTTTATAATGGATGGGAGAGTTGTAAAGCCATTGGGAATCATGGTTAGAGAATGTTAGGCATGCTGATGTTGTGGGATTTTAGGTTTTATAATAAAAGAATTCTTCAACTTTCTGAAAAGTTCTTGGATCAAAGTTAGGAAACACAGAAACATACGGATTAATATGTTTGATCTCATCCCTTGTTTGTGAGAAGGAAAAGTTAACTCCTCTTGACAATAAATGGAATGCTACATGTCTATGTGTTAGCTTTGCTCCTTAGTCATGACGTGAGAGTTTTGTCTAGGCTGCAATTTGAATGTTGTCATTAAAGATAAAGTTATCAGGAAGTTTACTTTGTGATTAGTTTAATTTTACATCCGATCATATTGTTGAGGAAAATAAGATGTGTCGACATACAAACAGAAAACTAAATTTTCTACTTCATTAAGAGGAAAAAGAGTAATTCAAGTGTAAGAGGAGCTAGTTTGCTCTTTCTTTTTCTCTCCAAAAGGTATCGCAAGTTTCTTTTATTGGACATAAGCTCCATTAGAGAAGGAAATAAATATCAGTTTTGATGATTCCCTTTACACTATAGTCAATCACTACTTTTAATTCATTAAAAAGTCCTTAAGAAGAGTTCCACTTATCATAGGTTCCTGATACCTATCAATTTGGGAGGCCGGATATGGTAGACATGAATTCTGATACGTATAATGGGAACCATAATATGAGCTGTAAAATAATAATAATAATAATAATAATAATAATTATTATTATTATTATTATTATTATTATTATTATTATTATTATTATATATATATATATATATATATATATATGCTTTCCAGATATTTGTGATAATTCAGTGACAAAACCAAGAATCTGAAGCAGGTTTTGAACAAATTAATAACTAATTATATTCTTGTTTAGTTGACCTTCTTTGGTGTAATTGAAGTGATAGAAGATATTGCTTTGATTTCCTCCTTTTTAACTTCAAAGATTAGTTTATAGATTCATCTTCATTTCAGGAAAAATTACTATTTACCTACTTGTGGCTTGATGTTATTGTAGCCTTTTTACTGTGTGTGGTGTATAAGGTTGTTCCTTAGCTCACTTGTGTTTTGTTCTATTAGAGGCAGCCCTTGTCACAAGACACCTAACTTTGAAAATAACATGGGATGAAATAGTGATGTGATGCCTACATCAAGATGACATGCCACTGATGTGGTGCATATGTGGCATCCATGTGTGACTCAATGGGCCTTTGTTATCAGTGTGCTTACATGAAATTGATAGTACAAAGGTGGTATCAATGTGAAGCCAATGAATTCTCATGACCATTATTGTTGTCATGTTTCATGCCTAGTAATGTGAGCAGGAACTCATAAAGTCACACAATCACCTAAGTTGTTGCTAACCCCGCAAAACTAAAGTTAAGCAAAGCTGAATCATATTAACTAGCCTCATGATATTAAAAGAAATAAACACAAGATTCGTCTAATATGAAACTCTCTTGCCTCTCTTCATGATTTATAAGAAAGGCCTTTCAAAAACTCCATTTCGCTATGGTCTGTACCAGATTCGCCTTACCCTAACTTGTCCTGTTGTCTTAAGACTTTTGATTTTTGGACCTGTGGATTATACTTTTCTTCTCTCTCTCTCTCTCTCTCATTTTGCCCTCCAAGTGCCTTTTCTCTCTCATCCATTAGTTCATCACCTCACTGAGCTGACTATCATTACCAATCCTTTTTTAGTGATCTCACAATTTTAACATGCACTGGCATGGTACCCACTGTATTGTGTCAGCCTAATATTATGGTACGAAATGGCATCAATATGGTGTTTCTGTGCACCTATTTGACTAATGTAGGACCAATATGCATCCTATTTTAGTCATTTCATATGCAAATGTACACCAATCAATGTTGTACACCAATTCGATTCATCTGTTTGTACGCCCAGCTTTTTCTTAATATTATCATTAAGTGCACAATTTGCCCCTTAGTAATACAACTTAAATTTCACGTATAAGTGCAACTTCTGTTATTGTTGTATTTATCAATGCAAGGTGGTAGAGTGAGGGCTAAATGTTTGATGGTGCAAAAAATAGGTGAGTTGAGTGGCACTCTTTAGATTATGGGTGAGCAAGTTGAGATGTTCTTGGGGCATGGTAGTTTCCCCTGAAATTATAGTTATTAGGAGTAAGGATCCCGTATCTGGAGACACATTAAACATAAGTGGTAAAGATAATAAACGTAATTATACGGGTTGTTTTTGGGCTTCATTTTGATGTTTAGAGTTCATTCGACTGCATTTACAAAGGATAGTTGATGCAAAGCTTCTGTATTGATGGCTGAGAAAATAAGTGCAAATGCAAATTGAAGACAGGATGAAAATTGAAGAGCTTATTTATGTCATTATCTCCATGCATGCCTAAACCTGTAAAACTATTCTGATTGATCTGTTTACTAATTGGTATTTTTTAGCTTTTCTCTGGAATTTGTTAATTTTACATTTTAATTATAAGATCATGCTTGACCATATCTTTGATGATTTTCTGATGTTGTGCAGACGGGATGCTGCGTTGGCTCTTACATGTGCTGTAGTATTTGTCTTGCTCATAGTGTCTTGTTATGCAGCACTTTACTTCAGATACTTCAAGGTTTCAGCTGTTTTTGTATGCCTCGGAATTCTTCTTCCGACATGCCTTAAGATTTCTAGGCATCGATGGGTTGCGAGGAAAAGGGAGAGAAGAATGTTGTTACCTTTGTCCATGTGAATATTATTGGGGTTCTATAACTTTTCTGGCAGATAACCTGCCTAATTTGTTAAGAGATGAATTTGGCTTAATTATCTATCTAAGAGATCACCCATTAAAGATCTAACATTGGTTGCTGATGCCCTCATGATATTCCCAACATTTCCCAGACTAATCATGGTATGCCATTTCTCTTTGTTCTATATCAAAGGATACTTCTTTTACCTATTGTCTTCATCAAATGTTGAGGCTGATGAATTTATTATGGAACCAACATCTCTCTTCTCTTTGTATAATATTTGATAGGTTGGAAATCATCAGGTTGTAAAATGTTGCAACCTTGTCATGGCCCCTCTGGTGCAACCAATGTATGATTTCTTCCATGTCCAGTGTTTAACCATAACAATTTTTTCATTTAGCAGATAAATATTAATCTTCAATTCGCAGCGTAATTGAATGTTTATGATGATATTTCAATTTGAGAAAATAGATTATTGGCAGAAAATTTCCTGTTCTTGAAGACTTCTTTTTTCCAATAAGTAAAATTATGTCGATTTGGTCGATAATGATTATTTTTAGCAATGAAAAAATGTTAGTTTTGCTGATAATGATTTTTAATTTATTGATAAACTTGAATTTTAGCTCCTTTTTTAGAAAACTATGATATGGAATAAAGAATTTTTGTTGGAGTAATTGCTCTAGAAAAGAGTACATACACGTAGAAATCAAGCTGGAAGGCACGTAGAAATAATAAAAGAGGCTTTAATTAAATTAGAGCCTCAAAGAGAAAATATAATTTTCGACGAATTTCTTGAAAATTTTACGATTGTATGGGAGGATTATTTCCCAAAGGACTTATCTGTGCCTCTTCGAAAAGAGTCAACCACATATTTCGGTAAAGCAAAATATGTAGGGAAGTTATAGTTCTTTGTCTCTCTCTCTCTCTCTCTTCTCGCTCTGCCTCCCCAATTTGCTCGCGCCCCATCGACCACTATGTCTCTTAGGAAACGGCAACGCGTCGGGAGCAGCGGCCACCTCTCCTCCCTTGACGGAGCCCTAGCGGAGGAGCGATCCTCCCCCTCGCCGTTCCGCTGCCCCGCCTTCGACCCTGGTGGCTTCAACGACCCTTCCTTCTCTGACGTCCTCCTCCACCTCCAGTTTGATCCCGATCACGACCCCCATCCTGACGCTTACCTCACCTGCCTCGACCTTCACGTCCAGTCCGCCGCCCTCCGCCGCTCCGACTACTTCGCCGCCCTCCTCTCCGACAGGTGGCAGCGACCTAGCGCTTCATCCGGCGACGCGATCCCGCTCCGGGTAACCCTCAAGATCCCTCGAGACGATGATCGCCACCGTCAAGGCCCCTTTGACGCCCATGTCGCCGTCATTCGGCTCCTCCATACCCTCGATTTCTCCGGAGCCGTCGCCTCGGTTACTGACGCCCTGGAGATGATGCCGGTGGCGCTGGAGTTCCTGTTTGAGGATTGCGTCCGGGCTTGCGTTCGGTTCCTCGAGGCAATGCCTTGGACGGAGGAGGAGGAAGAAAGGGTCCTCACGTTGATCCCTTTCCTCGGTGAAGAGGAATCCCGGGAACTCGTCGCTAGGGTTTCGCCCGTGGTGGCGGCCTCGGGAGATTGGAAGAGCATGTCTGAAGAAATGCTTCATGGATTGATCGACGTGGCGATCAGGCGGCACCCCAATGTGGCCACCGTCAAGGCTTTTGTGGCGAAGATACTGAAGGATTTCCCGTATCGGGAATCGGTACAGAGGGTACTGGACCAGGCCTTCTTGTCAAGCTTGGAGACGGTGAAAGATTACTTGGGCAAGTATGCGAGCCCAGATGTCCGGGTGGCGGAGGATAGTGATGAGAGGGAGGCGATCCAGAGGCTGAATTTGCATGCGGTGATGTCGAACTTAAAGCATTTGCATTGGCTGGTGGAGAGGATAATCGAGGTCAGGGTGGCCGACACTGCAGTGAGGGAGTGGAGCGAGCAGGAGGCACTGGCAGCTGACTTGATGAAGACTTTTAGGGACGATACATGGAAGAATATTGCACCTGGACTACCATTGCTGGTCACCAGGTGCAGCTACCGGCTTGCCGATGCTGTTGCTTCGGGGGCTACTTTGGCTCCTCGACAGGTCTGCCTTTCATAACCCTCGTTTCTTTACTCTACAACTTATGTTCTATTCTGAAAAATATGTTAATTAAGATTGTTCAGCATCATGCATGGGGAACAAGAGCTTTAAGTTTTCAGTTATGGGGAAAAATACCAACGATTTGAAATGTGTGATTTTTTTCTCCTCCAATTTAAAGTTGTGACGGAAGTTAGTTTTACTCAGCTTTCTTTTATGAGGTAATGGGGACTCCTGACAAAATTAATCCAATTTTTTGTTTAAATAACATAGGTTTTTTTAATTGTTATTTTTTACTATATATTTTTTCTCTATTGCCATTGATAGATTAAGCCATGTTGGAATGGCCAGATTTCAGGTGGGTGCTATGGAAGCTTTAGAACTTGGTCCTTCAGACCTGCCAAAATTAGTGTTAGAGGATGTGTATTCAACTATTTTGCTAACTATGAGCCCTTGTAGTGATAAAAAGTTTGCAACTTTTGGTCTATCCGAGTCTCCTTTGAGGTAGAAACATTACTGCAATTCCACATACTAGGGATTTCACTGCTCTAAAACTTTACCATAGGTTCCACATTTCATGTTCGACAACGATTCAATCCCAAAGGATTTTGGTTGATTCTAGTTGTCATGCCCCAAGTCAAGGACGTAGATAGATGTCATATACTTACAAGTACTAGGCACAATTTCGTTTTAGTTTTACTATTGATTTGCAATTTTGTGGATGCTGCAGGATCATTTGGTCTTACATTGTCATCGTCATCTTTTTTCTTTTTCCTTTCCTGTGCAAAAATTACAGGATAATTTGGTCTTACCTTTGTCTTCATCGTCTTTTTTCTTTTTCTTTTCCTGTGTGAAAGTTGCAGTCTGCAAGGTGCTTAATCCTCTAGTCTTGCAAGTCCTGTTCCCAGCTTGTTGCCTTAGTCAATGGACTGAACTGCTCTCCTCAAGTGTGGTGGCTGAAAACAGCATTTGATGATTTACTGGATCTTTTGATTTTTGACAGGAAGAACATTGTTGACATGTTCATCCTACCATTGCTATCTATAATTGAAGTACATCATTAATACACTATCATTTTATACTAGTGGTAAATTCTGCCTTGTATCATTGCTTAATCCACCACCATTTTGCTGCTTATCCTTTTTTTTTTCCATACCTTTTGTGTCCTTGTTCCTGATGTGCTGCTACCATTGACAAAAGTTATGTGCCACCCACCAACTCAGTGGACACCAATCAACATTCCTATCACTTTTCTTTTCATATATATGGACTTATTCATAATTATGTACACAACCAACTGTTTCATGCAAATTCATGACCAGAATGCCTAATCGTCTTTAACTATATGGCTGCTATACCCTTTAAGTTAGTCCATGCAGTTGCCATCACCTCCAGCTTGCCAGAGGTCCAAAACAAGAAAATATCTGTATTTAAGTCTATCTCCCTCCATCTTCTGTCGGATGCGAGATGAGTTTTTTTTCTTATGTTTTTGTAAGTTACAGAAGATGAAGCTTGGGATCAAGTTCCTATTAAATCATAACCCATCCATGTATAAGATTATCTATACCCAAATAGTTCTCATATTGTTTAACAGTTTAATATCTCTTCTACACTCCTTAAAATGGTTCTGTCATGAGTGACAAACTTTTTCAATAACTTGAAGGTAACAGTTTATCGTTTTTTTTTTCTAATTTATTCCTACCAAGATCACATGATTTTTATCTAAGATGTTTAATTTACTAAGCATTACCATATTCGTTGAAGTTATATACTTTATTATTATTCTTTATTCTTCACTTATTTAGTTCCATGATGCTTTTGAAATTTTGGTCTGTCATACCATTGCCATCTAGGCTTCCCAGTTAGTGATTGGAGCCGATGAACTCCTAACTGTAGTAATTCCTGGTCTCAGGTAAGAATGAAGATTGTGAGAAACTGGCTCCCTGTGTTGAATGTTCTCAGGGATACCTTTTCACCATTGCCTAGTGGCTATAGAACACTTTACCCAGATCTGGAAGAGACATTTTTGAAGATTATATCCACCTTGCCGCTGTCTGATGCTCAAGAGTTGCTACAGCAGTGCCTAAGCTTCTCCACCCGCAATCTTGATGATTGCCCACACTTGACATCCGCATTCAAAACATGGTTCAGGCGTGCTAATAGGCCTCCTCATGATTATAGAACCAACTAATTGCATCTTTCCAGCAAGTAGCAGCTGCATGAGATTACGGCTATCAGGTTAGTTGAAATTGCCTATAGCTCTGAAAACTGGAAGAAGTGTTTTTTTTTTTTTGGTATCATCCATACTGCCTATTCAACATTTACAAATTTGTTGAATTTTTGCTAATGATTTTCTGGATTTCTTAGATTGTTTTCTGCTAGGATCATCAGTTATTGTTCTATAAACTGTGAATTGGTGCACTTTGAGTAATAAATTACTATCTCTGGCGATCACAACAATGTACCCGAGATTAAATTCCAATGCTGAGTCAGTTGAACTTATTTTTTATTATTTTATATGTCATTAGATTTTGTTCCATTCCATAGCTCATGCTTCAACTATTTGTGGCTCAGAGTTAGACTATATATATATATATATATATATATATATATATATATATATATATATATACTAGTTTATTTCGCCATGGTCTTGTTTATCTTGAACTTGTTGTTTGTGTAACTATTTGTTCTTTTCCTTCTTGGAGAATTGCTCATCATAGAAGAAATTTAGTCTACTAAATTCATTCCTTACTGAAGCATTTATTAGTAAAATTAACTTGCTTTTTCAACAATCAATAGAAAAATCAGGAATTTATCAACTGATTTACATCAATAGCTACAATCATTATGATTTTTTGGAGGTCCCTGATAGTCATAATGATATGTGAGAGGCTCAGAAACCATGGTTCAAATTTTGGTCATACCCATGGACACTGATTGGTATTTACCGATGCTATGGCTGACCACTACAGGGACTGGGCAGATTTCACCCACTGGCCAAAATGGAGCTTACCAGCCAGTAAGCTCACATTACAGGGCTGACTAGATGGTAAGCTGATCGGTAACGAACTGCACTTGATGATCAGTA